CACAGCGCCCAGGGGCGAGGCTGGAGGGGCTGGGACGGGCCGCGGCCCCCGGGGCCCCGGGGTCCCGAGGCTGGGTTGGCGGAGACTGAGTAGGAGGCCATGGCGGGGCGGAGCCGCGCGCGAATGGCCTTCCAGCGAGCCCAGGGACAGGGGCTGACGGACCGGAGTGGAGTCTCGAGGGGGCGTGCCCGTAGGCGGATAGGGGGCGTGTCCAAGGTAGGGGGTGGGGTCTGGCCGAGGGCCTCGCGTTCCCGGCCGGCTGCCAGGGTGGAGGGGGGGCGGCTGCAATGCTCGCGTTGAGCTAAGCGCAGGCGGACGCAGTCTGGAGCGCTAGCGGGTGTCGCCAGGCTTGCAGCGCGGAGCAAGAAGCGGAGCCCGCAGGTGAGAAGGGGTCCGGACGTAGAGTCAGTTCCTTCTCCCAGAGCCGATCTGCGCAGCTTTCTCGGAACAAGGGATCCGCTCGGGCCGTGGAGACAGCTGGTGGGTGAGAAGGAGCTTTGCGCCCCCCCCCGCCCCCCTGCTCCCCCGAGTTCTGACCCTCCAGCATCTGGCTCCGCCAAGAGCCCGCAGATCTTTCAGGTTCCAGTAATGGGTCTAGGTTGAGACTGGCGAACCCCGGGCTCGCGTTGTCCCTCCTCGCTCAGGCCCGGGACCCTCCGGCAGGGTTGGCAGAGGAGAGGCGGTGCAGCGCAGCCCCGGGTGCCCCGGCCCGTCTCGTCGCCGGCCCTGCTGCTTTCTGTGCGCAGAACGCGGCTGTGCCAAGCGAACTGGGGAACGAATGTGAGTGTACTGCCCTAAAGGACCCCCCCTCATTGCCCTGATGGGGCCCAAATCCCTAAGCTCTCCAATGCTGGAGAGCTCTGCCAAACTGGCCCCTTGGGTCTTAAGGTCGGAAACTCGGAGGGGCTTTCGGCTACCTCTGGGGGCTTTTTCTAGGAAGTCCAGGGCGGAAGCCAGTGGATAAGTTCTTATCAGAGCGAGTGGGGCGGGGAAGGGAAAACCCTGGTGAGCCTTGGGCCTGTCAAGGCCAGGGCCCCAGGTCCTTGCCACAGGCCAGGCTCAGTTCCTGGGGCTGAGGGGCCCGTGCCCAAAGATATGTGGGGGCAAGGACTCTGGGGCAGGCCATGTGTCAGGAACCCGGGCTTCGGGGGTCACACTGCCTCGGATTCCACTCCCCCCCTCCAAACTTCAGTTTCTTCATCGGTCAAACAAGGGTGGTGGCACTATCCAGCGACAGAGCAAGGGCAGGGACCTTCCTGGGGACCCACATAGTCCATGGCAGTCACTCTGGACTCCTGCCAGAGAAGGAGCCCGTTCTGAGGAGGGTGGGAGGCTGCTTGCGGCCCTTCTCCACGTGGGGAGGGCCAGCCAGAAACTGCCCCTGCCACCACTCAGAGGGTGGGGAATGTGTCACCTGAACCCAGGGGCGGCTGAGCTTTCTGTAATCTTACTGGAGGTTGGTGAAGGCTCACCTAGACAGACCGCAGATCACACCCCCCACACACACACACACACCTCTGCCCAGCTGCGTACCTGACACACAAGAAGGGGCCACAGAAAGAGGGGCACTGGAGCAGCCTAACAGTCAAGCTCCACTGAAGAGTACAACTCACATCCAGGGCTTGCAGCCAGGAAGGATCTCATGGGTCTGTCCAGCGTTGTGGGCTGGAATCCAGCAATTCTACCACATGCCCGGCTGAGGGTGGAAGTGACGGGCAGCTCAGGCACCTGTTGTCTGCCTTGAGTGGGACTGGGCACTGGAGGAAGGAGGCGGAGGGGGGCTGTACCCTGTGTCCTCTCGGGGAGATGAGCTGTACACTTTAGAACCAGCTGGAAAGTACCAGGAAGGGGTGCCTGGTGGAGGAGACTGTGTGTGTGTGTGTGTGTGTGTGTGTGTGTGTGTGTGTGTGTGTGTTCAGAAGAGGTCAGACACTGGAAGGACCTGGGCTGAGAAAAGAGAGCTTCCAGAAGCCAGACTTGAGTAGCACCCTCTGCCGGGACTCCCATGTGCCAGGTGGTCTTCGATGAGCTGGGGGACACTGACCCCTCTGGGAACATCTGTGTGTGATATTAGAGCCTGGCATGGCAGGGAGAAAAAGGGACTGGCCAGTGGTACCCTGAGTGGGGAGGAGAGGTTCTTATGGAATAGTGCGTATTGGGCACCCAGCAGGGAGGCTCTGCCCCTGAGTGATACCACACACTCAAGTCCACCCTCAAGTCCCTTCGCCACTGGGGAAGGCTGTCACCAGGTGGCTCTGTGCATGACGAGTGAAGGAAGGGCAGGAGGGGTCGGGAACACTTCTTGAAGGAGGCCCGGGGTCAAGGTGGGTTAGGCTTGGGTTGCCTGAGCTCAGCGGTTCAAAGCCCACTGGCTGCTCCTCCTGAGAGAGGTGGCACTGGCGGTGCCCGGAAAGATGTACAGGCGCAAAAAACCCACACAGTGTCTCGCCAAGTCAGAAGGGACTGGATAGCAGTGAGTGTGTGGCATTTGGGATGCGCCAGAAGGATTGAGGGAAGGCAGGGTTTCAGAGAGGGGCCACTGTCTTGGCAAAAGCCAGGAGGCCAGACTGCTCAGGTCGCCTTCCGGAAGAGCTGCTGGCTGCGAACTGGGACTGTGGGGATCGGGCGAGGACAGGTGCCCGGTGAGGTGTCTGTGGTCCACAGTGGGAGCCATTGAAGACTTTGGGCCAGGATCATGACAAAGCCAGGAGCACTGTAAGAGAGGCATTCTGCCCAAGATGTGCTGGGATGGGGGAGGGGGGGGGTGTCGATCCAGTGACCAAAGGAAGATACGCTTCACACCTCACGGCCGTCGAGTGGATTCTGACCATAGCGACCCTCTAAGACAGGCTGGAGCTGTCCACCCTGTGGATTGCCAACATTGTAACTCCTTACAGGAGGAGAAAACCTCATCGTTCTCTGAGGAACGACTGTTAAGTTTTGAACTGCTGATCTTGTGGTTGGTAGTCTAACACCTAAGCCCTACACCACCAGAGTTCCCACAGGAAGATAAATCAGTGGCTTTGGTGATGGGGAAGGAGGGAGGGGACTGGGTCTCTTTGGAGAGGTCCGAGACTGGGGGCTGGAGGAAACGGCCCTGTGGGTGGGGAGGCCTGGGGGCGGGGGCTGAAAAAGGCCAGAGGGAAGCCAGAGTGACACCCGAGAGGAATGGTCTAGTCAGTGTCTACTCTGTCTCCTGTTCCTGTATCCAGCCTGGGCACTGGCAAGCATTGTCAGCCGCCACCAAGTGGGCCCCTGGACTCACTAGGAGGACGGCAGCATTGGACTGCGGTGATTCCTAGCGTGTCCCTTGGCTGGTTTTCAGGTGGTACACCACCAGGCCTTTCTCCCTAGTGTGTATTCATCTGGGAGCGCTCCTGAACCTTGCTTAGCATTATAGCGATGCCCATGCCTCCACTGACAGGTGGCTCATGGCTGAGCATAAAGTGCATTGGCTGGGAACTGAGCACGGGGCTTCTGCACGCAAGGGGGTCAGGGATTCTATCATTGGAGGGCCACACAGAAGGGGCTAACAGCCGGAGATACCGTGGAGGGTTAGGGGTACTACAGAGTGGGAGGCTTATAGGGACGGTCTCCAACCAGGCCCCTGGCTTGGCCCATGAAAGGGGAGCCTCTGAGTCAGTGGGGGGATTGGGAACCAGTAGTGGGGCGGATTTCTGGGAAGACAGGCCTTGGGGAGGGAGGTTGAGGGGTCAGCCACGCGCACACATAGCCCACATGGGTCCGGGGAGGACTTCCTATTTGGCCCCGTGCCTCCCAGGCCCCTCTGAAGTTCCTGTAATGCAGTGGCAGCCCCTGTACTCCTCACTCCACTTTTGAGCTACCTTCTGGAAGCTCTTCCACCCCCTCCCATGTACTGGGGACACAATCCTTGTCCCCGCTGCCAGCCCCAGGATCAGGCCGCCCTCTGGCACCAGCCGGAGAAGACCAAGTCCAGGCACTCCTTTGGCTCTGGAGCTTCCAGGGCCAGCGGGTGCCCGTAGTTTTGGCTCAGCCTCAACCTCCCTCCCCCTGCTCCAAACCGTTATACCACTTCCTGCACCCCACAGGAAGTGTTGAGGGGGGTTACGGTTTAATCCGAAGGATCAAACGGTCAGAAGTCTACTCTGAGAGAAGTGGGAAGGGAGGGAAGAGGCCCAGGAGAGGCATTGCCTGCCCCTCTGGTGCCTTCCCCCACCCCCAGTGCCCTAACCTCAGCAGGAACTGCCCTGCCCACCGCTTCCCCTCCTTTGGCTCAGGCTCTGAGGAGCCAGGAGGGGAAACTCAGAGGTAAACAGAGCCCATTGGCAAGGGCTGCTCCCCTCCTCGCTGGCCTCCAGGCCAGCCTGAGCCCAGGCCACCAACCACAGAGCCAGCAGATGGCCTTTGGACGCAGCCAGCTGGCAGGGTCTCAGGGCTGCCTTGTTCCTGACTCATGCCCTGGGGTTCCCCCACATATAGCATGGCTTTGTGACTTTAGACAAGTTCTTTCTCTTGGGGGCATCTCTTCTTGCTCTGCCAAGGCCCCACTCATTACTCAGCCCTCAGGGGTTTCTGGGTCCTGGGCTCTATCTTATGTACAGTGGAGTCTGTGAGCATGTGTACACACACACACACACACACACACACACACACACACACACACGCACAGAGCTCCTCCCACCCTCTTCCTTGAGCTTACCCCGCTGTCCTGCCTGGGGCATCCCTTCTGCTGTCCACAGAGCAGTGGATGCCTCTGCATGGTGCAGGGGGGCGGGGAGGAGGGCAACTCCTGGCCCTGCCCATTCCTAGCTTCTGTGCCCCTCTCTGGGCCTCCATTTCCTAGTCTGTACATAACAGTGGGGACTTGGTCAGCGGGTGGCCTGAGGGACAGTGAGTGCTCCAGGCACGTGCTGCGTGGAGCCTCATCTCTGTGTCAAACACACTGAGGCTCAGTTTGTGGTCGCTCTTTTATTTCTGGCACCTGGCCCACCTTCCACGAGGGCAGCCGTCTGCCTCTCAGCCCCATGATAGCGTCAGAGTCTGGATCTGCACCCCAACGCTAGTCACTTCCGGCTCTGTGGTCCCAGCTTGGCCTCTCGGGGTGACTGGGTTTCTCCATCATGACTAAGTTTCCCGAGGAGGCAGTAGCTCTGATTCCCCCTCATTTCCCCAAACCTCATCCTCGCCCTCACCCTCCTTCCGTGGTGCGTGTTTACCCTGAGCATGTATGCATGTTCCCCTGTGGTGGCTGTTGTGGGTGTGTGGAATATCTTGGATTCTTGGCACCCAGCCTGACACCCAGCAGGCACTCAGGAAATGAGGGTTGAATGAATAAGTCTATCTCCTGGTGCGTGTGTGTGTCTCAGCAGGTCCCCAGCTCAGTGCCAGGCAATGGGGGA